CGCCCCTGCCACGTGGGCTTGTTTGGGTCTCGCGAGGCTCCGCCCCGGGTTTAGAACTTGGGCCCAGCACCCGCGTGGGTCACTGCAAATGGGATGGCGACGTCGGGGCTGCAGGTCCCGCTGGAGCGTGAGCGGTTCGGGGGGGCTCTTTGTACCTCGAGGCCTGTGTCCTGGTCCTTCCCCCGCGGGTCCGCTGCCTAGAGCAGCGTCCAGTCCAGCGCTTAGAAGGCCCAGGACTGGTGGTCGCGCTGCTGCCTCTGGCCTTCCTGGCGAGGCTCTGGCAGAGCGGACCCCAGAGCCGACGTGCTGTCCTGGCCAGGCCTCGGAGGCACGATTAGCGAACCAGAGTTCCCTGCTGACCTCACTCGTGGCTCCTTCCCAGCTCGTCCCGGCTCTGAGGAAGAGCTGCTCAGTCACTAGAGCCTCAGACAAGTCCCCTGTCCACTACTGCCACCACCCCCCCGTCCCATCACCCAGGTGCATTACTTCATAGAACTCATCACTCTCAAGTATGTGTTTGCTGACTGTCTTTCCCACGATGTCAGCCGGGCTCTCTGACTTCTGACGACAAAACCAGAGTGTCACGCACCTCGACTAGCGCCTCGCATCGTCCAGTATGGCCTTCTAGAAATGCTTGGACACGGAAGGGTGCAGTCTCCACCGCACCTCGGGCCTCGCATGATCCCTAGTCCTATTCTTTGAATTCCAGCCCTTTTCACCACACAAGCCAATCAGAGGGGCTTTTGCTTCCTGGCCATAACCAGGCACTGTGCTGGTTGCTGGGGTGCAACAGAGCACAAGGGAAGAGGTCCTACTGTCCTTAGAAAGTGGCAATAAAGCTGCAGGGACCCGGTGTCAACCATGCCATTCCACAGGCTCCATAACTTATACCACATCAATGAACCTACCAGGTGAGGTCTGCCTGCTGGAGGACTCAAACTCTGCCCTCGATCCTCTGATAAATGAAAATTCTAGGCACCTGGACTCCTGTGCTTGATGAGTCATTTCATATGCTAGTTAAGGGTTTAACACAAATTGTCCTAAAACTAAGAGATGGACCTATCAGAAACATTGGGGAAGCCATTCCTGATGCCCTGAGGAACTTTTGGGAGAAAAACTTCACAAGTTTTCTTCATAAAAGTCTCTCCTTTCTCAGAAAAAGTGAATGGAAATGGCTCTTGCCATTTCCAAGCATATGATTTGGGAAAAACATGGTGTCCATAGGGAGAATGGATGAAGTAAGAGTAATACGTTGATTCCCTTCTGTCTACATGCAGTAAGTAGTGCAGAGCTGAATAGACCATTCCTACTTCCCTCCCCCATCACCATTATTGGTTCTCCCCTTTTAAATGCTACACCCAATGACCCTGCCAACACTCTGATTTCAGACTTTGTCCTCCAGCATTGTAAGGGAATGAACTTTTGTTAATTCGAAAATTTTAAATAATACTAAAAATAAATAACTAAATGCTACATCCAAAGCCCTTTACCTTGTAAGTTTTGTCCCTTATAGTTTTCATAGCTAGTAGTAGTACCCTATTGGGTGTATTCAATTGGGTTGTTCTTATGTTTTTGGCTTCTCTTTTTTTATACAATATCTGAGTTGTTCTTGAATGATCCTGACTTCTGGATGCTGAGTGTCCTTTGAAGAATCTAACAATTTATTTATGATGTTAATGATGTTATTTATGAGATTTGGAAGCAATAATTTTTTTATTTTTTATGTATCCTAATTTGTTATATATGACAGCAGAACACAGTTCAATCCATATTACACATAATATCTCTGGTTGTACCCAAAGTAGAGTTACACCATTCATGTCTTCATACATTTACTTATGGTAATGATGTCCATCTCATTCCATTGTCCTTCTACCCCTATGCCCCCTCCTTTTCCTTCCCACCCCATTTGCCCTATCTAGTGTTCATCTAATCCTCCCATGCCCCCCCAACCCCATCATGAATCAACATCCTTATATCAGAGAAAACATTTGGCATTTGGTTTTTTGGGATTGGCTAACTTCACTTAGCATATTCTCCAACTCCATCCATTTTCCTGCAAATGCCATGATTTTATTCTTTTTCAATGCTGAATAATATCCCATAGTGTATGTATACCACATTTTCTTTATCCATTTATCTACTGAAGAACATCTAGGTTGAGGAAGCAATTAACTTTTTACTCTTCACAAACCTATTCTGCATCCTTGTTTTTCTGTGAAGGATAGAACTTATAAGAGGAGGGGAAAATATTTTTAGCATCTGTTTCAAAAGATCTTTACCAGGGATACTTTGTAAACCAAAAATTGGATCTTGCTGCAACTCTTTCTTTAAGCCCAGTTCTGAGTCTTACACTTCACAATGCCAAATGGCAGATGGATTAGGGGAAAATGAGAAAGAAGGAAAGTTTGTTTCAGTCTGTGAGTTCCCACCACCCCACCATAGTCTCTCCTTTCTCAGAAAAAGTGAATGTAGGGTGGGAATCTCTGCAGCTCTTTTCAGTGAAGGATTTCCTAGTTCTCACTCTCTGGTCAATTCCTGGGATGTATAAAACAGCATTTTAATTATCACAATGTCCTGTAACTCATTCTTTGTGTTTGTAAGTGTGCAATTCTGCTCAGGCCCCTTCTGTTCCTATGCAGAGTTGGCATGTCATCCTAAAGACATTCTCGGCACTTTGGTAAAGGAGATCTTATCTCTAGCTCCTGGTGACATTGAATACATAGGGTCACTGAGCATTTCTGTCATCCCTGAACAGAGTATTAACATTATGCACTGTATTTGTAGCCAGCTGAGTTTCAGTGGATATTATCTTTTTAATATTACTAGGTGTATAAATAAATGAACAGACATTTCAATTCCTCTTTCCATGCCCACTTGTGAAATATCCATCATCCACACTGTCACTCACTATGATATATTATTTACCATCATTATGGCCAAACAATGTACACAAAACCATTTATGTCTGTAATACCAAAGTGTAAAAGACAAATTGGAAACTAAGATATAGAAGATACAGGACTGTAAACAAGTCCTGAACTTTGTCATCTCATTGAAACTGTTAGGTTTTTAAACCAAAGTAACTTCATTTTGAAAATCAGCACCTCCCCACCCAAGCATGACCTTCCCATTAGGCCTGCCCCCAAAGAGTCCATAACTAGTGAAACCACAGCAAAAAACACCAAATAAAAATCACAGGACCAGATGGGTTATCTTTTAACTAATCTATTGTACAGACTATACAGAAGTTTTTTTCCAGCAGCCTGCTGCACCTTGCAAAAGGGCAGCTGGGCAGATATTCTCTGTCAATAAACCTTTGCTTGAACTCGGACTTGTGTCTCTCACAGATATTTGCGCCAGCTACCCTAACAAAACTTCACTTAAATTGTGAACAATAGATGAGAGTAGCCCTGCTTTGCCTATGAAGAAAGTGAGGCTTAGATTTAATAACTGAAAGACTGATTCAAGTAAGAGCTAAGTAATGAATCAGGGGTGCTTCCTTAGAAACATCTGAGGTTTCAGGCAGCACAATAACAATAGCCTCTGAATGAATGAAAATCAACAAGACTGAAGGACAAACTATTTCTAAAGAGATTTATAGAAACTCGCTTTTTTTATCTTGAAGCCATTGAATACCATCTATTAAGAGTCCTGAGGAAAGGGCTGAAGGGATAGCTCAGTTGGTAAAGTGCTTGCCTCACATGCATAAGGCCCTGGTTTCAAACCCCAGCATCACAAAGAAAAACAAACAAAAAAAAAGAGTCCTGAGAAAGAAATAATGGTTATTGGAAATTTTGTAGAATAGGGAGGATATAATCAGGGTCTTTTTAAAAGTTATAAAGGGAGCTGAGATGCAGTGGTAGAATCCTGAAATCCTAGCAATTCTGGAGACCAATTGGAAGTTCAAGGCAAACCTCAGCAATTTAGCGAGTCCCCATCTCAAAGAGTGGGAGGACCCCTCCCCCATCTTAAAAAACTCAGCGGCCCTCTCCATCTTTTCAGTGGAGTCTTTCCTTCCCCGGGAGAACAGGCCTCCCTTAATGTCCTCACTGTATCATTTTCTGATGTTTCTTCATGTCTCTCTTCTTCTGTTTCTGGCCCGATAAAATCTTCCTCCGAAGGCTAATTCATTGTGACCTCTTTGGTAGAGAGTGCCACAGGCCTCGGGGCAGCCTTGTAAAGGGATGCGCCCTTTTCTCTAGCCCGCCCCAGGAGCACAGGGCTTCATGGAAACCCCAACACTAGCACTATGCCTACATTTCATAGATAATGAAAGAAATGGGGAGAGGGAGAAAGAAATCTTATTTAAAACGTTTTAAAGTTTTTAAAATGTTTGCTGCCAGGCGCAGTGGCACACCTCTGTAATCCCAAAGGCTCAGGAGGCTGAGGCAGGAGGATGGAAGTTCAAAGCCAGCCTCAGCAATTCAGCAAGGCCCTAAGCAACTTAGTGAGACCCTGTCTGTAAATAAAAAGGGCTGGGGTTGTAGCTCAGTGGTAGAGCACTTGCCTTGCACGTGCGAGGAACTGGCTTCCATCCTAGGCACCATATAAAGATAAACAAATAAAATAAAGGTATTGTGTCCATCTACAACTCAAAAATAAAAATAAAAAAAGACTGGGAATAGTTAATCGTCTCTGGGTTCAATCCTTATTTAAAAATAAAAATAAAAGTTTGCCGATCTTTAAAATGAGAATCATGCCAGAGTTGCCTCAGACGGAGTGGGGATGCGTTTACTGCGTTGTCCACGCGCATCGACCAGTAGGTGGCGCTGTGGTCTGTGGATTGAGAATTCCCGGGTTCACACAGCCCCTTCCATTTAGCACACTCTGTCGCATTTAATTACAACCCAAATCAGACTAATAAAATCTCCCTAATTCATTGTGACCTCTATGGTAAAGAGTGCCTCAGGCCTTTGGGGCAGCCTTGAAAAGAGGGATGCGCCCTTTTCTCTAGCTGTATGTTCCCATGAAAGGCTCTAGAGTCAAGGACGCTCAGACCCTGCAGGAGTTCTGAGGCATCCTCTAACTCAGCTCGCTCAGCGTCCCAGCTTGTGCTGGTTGGTGACCATGACCTTGGGCTGGACCTGTTGTCCTGAATGCCAGCGTTGCCTCCCCGTTGGTGTATGACCTTGGGCAGTTGCCTTTCCTAGATCTTCGCATCAGTCACTGTTCTCCTGAGAAACGGAACCAAAGAGAAATATATTTATAACAGAGAAAGAAAAAAGAAAGGTTTATTTTAAGGAATCAGTTCAATTTATTATGGAAGCTGGTGAACCTGAAATCTGTAGAACAGACCAACAGGCTGGAAAGCCCGGAAAGATCTGACTTTGCCATCTCAAGTTCAAAGAATTGGAGGCAGAATGCCTTTCTTTAGGGAATTTTGTCTTTCTCTTGAGCCTTCCACTGTTTGGATAGGGCCCACTCATAGCATTGAGAGTAATCTTCCCTACTCAAAGTCTATTTATATATATATATATTTTTTTTTTTTTTTAAAGAGAGAGAGAATTTTAATATTTATTTTTTTAGTTTTCGGCGGACACAACATCTTTGTTTGTATGTGGTGTGAGGATGGAACCTGGGCCGCACACATGCCAGGCAAGCGTGCTACCGCTTGAGCCACATCCCAGCCCCCTACTCAAAGTCTATTGATTTAAATATTAATCACATCTATAAAATATTTTTACAACAGTGTCTAGACTGGCATTTAACCAAACATCAGGGTACCATAGCCATATGAGTTTTAGGATCCATTTCTGCAGGAGATAGGGATGTAGCAAGCAGTAGGACGACCTAGGATGCACAAGAGCTTAGGTTCAACCCCCAACATCAAAAAAGAAAAAGGAAAAAGAGGGGTTGTGGCTAGATCGCAGAGCATTTGTCTACCACGCACAAGGCACTGGATTTGATCCTCAGCATCACATAAAAATAAATAAATAAGTGTCCAGCTACAACTAAAAAAAAAAAAAAAAATTAAATAAAAAGGAAAAAGAAATTTACCCATGTAGAGTTACTGGTAACTTAGCTGGGCAAGGTGGCTGATGCCTGTAGTTCCAGTCACTGAGGAGGCTGAAGCAGAAGAATTGCAAATTGAAGGGTAGCCTTTGTAACTTAGCAAGACCCTGTATCAAAAATAAAAGTATTTGGGCTGGGGATGTGGCTCAAGCGGTAGCGCACTCGCCTGGCATGCGAACGGCCCGGGTTCGATCATCAGCACCACATACCAACAAAGATGTTGTGTCTGCCGAGAACTAAAAAATAAATATTAAAAAAAAAGTATTTATTTTGGGTACTAGGAATTGAACCCACAGTGTTTCACCACTGAGCTACACCCCCAGCCCTTTTTCCATTTTTAAATTTTGATATAGGGCCTTGCTAACTTGCTGTCTGGGCCTCAAACTTGCAATCCCTTTTGTCTCAGTCTTTTAAGTAGCCAGGATGGGAGGCATATGCCACTGCACCTGGCTACAAAATAAAGTTTTAAAAAATTAAAAATAAAATAATATAGACTGCCAGGCATGGTGGCGCATACCTGTAATCCCAGTGACTCAGAAAGCTGAGGCACTAGGATCACAAGTTCAAAGCCAGCATCAGCAAAAGTGAGATGCTAAGCAACTCAGTGAGATCCTGTCTCTAAATAAAATACAAAATAGGGCTTGGGATGTGGCTCAGTGGTCAACTGCCCCTGAGTTCATTCCACAGTACCAAAAAAAATTAATTTATTATGGAAGCTATTACTATTATTATTACTAATAATAGTAATAATAATAATGACAACAATATACAATTTCTAGAAGAGACATGACCACAGATCTGGAGTTGAATGCAAATCTGAAAGAGAATTTTTTGGAGAACATCAAGATGATTCAGTGGCTGTGGAAACGTGAACTTCTTCAGGAACAGAAACTATAGCTTAAACACAAATACAGTTTTCTGAGAAAGAATACAAATTGAGAAAAGAGGTGACGGGCAGGAGAGGGCTACTGAGTTAGTCACCTTTCTGCCACTGAAACGAAATACCTTAGCTCATTGACGTAAAAGAAGTAAAGGTTTATTTTGGCTCTCAAATTCAGAGGTTTCATTACAGCATAGGTTGGCTCAGTTGCTTTGGGGCCAGTGATAAGGCAGAATGTCATGGCAGGAGCACGTGATGGAGCAAAGCTGCTCATCTCAAGGGAGCCAGGAGGCAAAGAGACTGGAAGGGGCCAGGGTCTGACATCCCCTTCAAGAGCATGACCCTGTGACCTAACTTCCTCCAACTAAGTCCCACCTCTTAGAGGCTCTACCACCTTCCAATAACACCAAGGCTTTAAAATACAGGCCGAGAGGGGCATTCCAGATCCAAATTATAGCAGGTGGATAGGTAGAGACATGTGACAAAGCAAACAATGAAATGTGAATTTCAACACTTGTTTATTGTAACAAAAGCTGTAATAACCTCATCTGGAGAAAGCCATTTTGCAAGAACAGGCCCATTCTCAAAACCTACCCCAGTCACTGAGCAAGCAACATAAAAAGTCTAGACTCAAGAAGAAATATCATGTAAAACAAGGTGCGAAGCTTTGGTAAAGAAGTCCAGCTGGGGTTGTCATCCCTAATTTTTGCCATTGGATACTGAGGCCTAGGGGTGCAAGACCCGGGTCACACACAGTGTCTTGGTCACAGCCCAGGCCTTCCGGGATCTGTCTAATGGTGTATTCACAGCCTTTCCTCTTCCAGCTCTTAAGACTGGGCTCACCCTGGCCTCCTCTTTCAGTGAGCCTTGGCCTAGGACCACTAGGACCCTTTGATAGTTATTCTACCCCAACCCCTAGAATTTATTTTCCTTCCACCTGACTCAGATGCCTGGTATCACACTACATGGGACAACAAGCCACGCGTATCACTGAAGCCCAGGAGCACGAACTAAGTCATTTATCATACAGCATAGAGCAGGGGTGTGAAAAATAGATCTCAGAAAAATCCACAATATGAATTAAAGCACTTGAAAAGTAAAAGTGGAGGCCCTGAGTTAGCTGTGATGCACCAGGTACTTTCTGGGTGACCATGGACAAGTCCCTGGACTTACTGAGCCCCAGTTTCCTCATCTATAAATACTCCTTGGTATCACATTTGCTACTGCACTGGTTTGTGACAACAAAACGACTCACATGTGACTGTGCTTTGGGGGCTTTATTTAGACTTGGCTATTGCTTAAGCATTGCTGGGACCTGGAGATGATGAGCTGCAGGTTGCCAGGTCTCCATCTGAGGGCGAGGAAACTCTGAGGCCCCAGGTACTGTGCAGGGACACACTCATAATGATACCCACATTCCATCAGTGCTTCCCAGAAAGCCAAGCCCTTGCATCTCAGCAGAGTTTCCATGGAGTTGACACCTCACCCTGAGATGGTGCTGGCTCAGAGGTCAGGGGCCGCCACTGTGCTTGGGGATGGCTGAATAACCTTTGATCAGCCCTGAGAGGAATGTGGGCACTGGGGTGTGGCCTTGTGAGACCCGCTGCAGTAATTCTGGTGCTATTGTGTAGGCTTAGCCAGGCCCCAGTCATATGGCCATGTGTGCCTTGCGGCTACCTTGTGGCCTGATGGCCTAGAAGCCGACTTGTTCCCAGCAGGGCTGCAGTCAGCCAAGGGCATTGGTCATGTACTCTCCTCCCTGCCTGCCTTGTCCCCTCCTGGCTCACAGTCACATGGGTGAGGGTGGCAGGTACCAGGGCTGGGCTCACCCTACCTGCACGCTGCCCAGATAGACTTTAGTAATGCTCCCCTTTCCTCCCAAAAGCACAGCCCCAGCCCATTCCCCTTTGAGCTCATTGGTGCCTGGTGTGCGGTTACCTCCTGCCTATGTTTAATTCATGGCAGGGAGTTGGGATGAGTTTCCCAAGAAAGGAAAGAACTCCCTTGGGGTTTTGCCCAGTTCCTGCCTGCCCCACAGGGAACAAAGCTGAAGCCCCAGCCTCCTCCCTGGGTCTGGGGCTGGGGAACAGAAACTGCTGATGGGCTTGGAGGACACTGTCCCAGCCAGGGAACAGCCATCAGTCACTAATCCACTGTTCTGGAATGTCTGTGGGCCAATCAGCGGGGTCTCTGGGGGCTCCCCGAGGGCGCTAATAATCCTGCAATGATTAGCAGGGGCCACGAGGTCAGTGCACACTGTTCTGCCTGTTGTCGGTGGGGCAGGCTGGCCAGGCCACAGAGGCTGGAGCATGGAGGCATCCAGGGGAGCTGTCTGTCTCTTTTCATGCCAGCAACAACAGGAGGCTGTTTGGACGCACTGATTACTCACGGGGCCTCCCCCTTTTGTCTGCCAGCCCACCGGACTCCTTGAGATTGTGAAGAGCTCCATCTCTCCTGGGAAGTGAGTTGGCTGGTGAAGCCAGACTGTGCCTGCAGCACCGACTGACCCATGCTACAGCCAGAGCCCTCCCTGGGGCCCGGAGGCCAGGGCCACCGGCCTGGCCTCCTGCCCGTGCTCCTGACTCTCATTGGCATCGCCTGGGCAGAGATGCAGCCACCCCAACCACCAGAGCAGGTTCAAATGCCCAGAGGTAAGGGAAGGAGGGGAAGGACAGAGGTAGAGGAGCCATTGTGAGCTTTGAGGAGGGGGTACCAGGGGATTTCTGGAAGCCAGATCTCTGGCCTAAGCCCTGGGTGGTGTTGGTGTGATTTGAGGAGGGACCCAAAAGGACAGTCCAGGGGACATGATGGATGGATACTGGGGCTGGGAAGAAGGACAAGGGGATGGGCCCACGTTGGGGTCAAAGTGGAGTACCAGCTGAAGGCTGGAGCTGATGACCCAGAGAGATGCAATCGCTGAGAGGAGGGGCGGGCTTTGAGTCCCCACATGCCTGGTCCCAGTCCCTCATTACCTCCATTGTCCCCCACTCCTCAGTCATGGCACTACTTTATATCCGGTCTTTCTCTTCTCACTCCTACCCCTGTCCCCATCTCCCTCCCTCTCCCCCATACCCACCCATTGCTCTTCTCTGTCTCAGGCCTTGTATCCTAGGGGTGAGGTTGCACTCTTACCTGGCCATGAGGACTGACCCAGTCCCCACTGCTCACTGTTCACTGACCTGGCCTTCTGTCCTTGTCCCTAGCCCTGAGCAGGAAGGAGAGTTTCTTGCTCCTGTCTCTACACAACCGCCTGCGCAGTCGGGTTCAACCTCCTGCAGCCAACATGCGGAGAATGGTGAGTGCCCCCAACTCCAGCTCCACCAGAGTGGGAGGGTAGCTGAAGAGACAGAGACCTGTCAGGGGCTCACCAGGCCATGCCAGTGCCAGGTGCCCTTCTGCCTGGGTAGGGCTGGTGGGGACAGTCAGTCACCTTGCCCGCTGAGGATCCATGGCCCTAGTTGCTGAGGAACTCTGTGGCTTACTCCTCCCCAGAAGGACCCTCAGTATACGAGGCCATGCCCCTGGCTCATGCTTGCCTGAAAGGCAGACCTTGGGTCTTCCCTGGTATCCCGTTGCCACGGAGACCAGGAGACATGCTAGGAGCTGGGATCTCCTCCCCCAGGGAACAGGAGCTCTGCACAGAGTCCAATGGGAAGGGAGGGACAAGTGGCCTGCTGAGCTGTGGAGGGGCTTGTGTGTGACCAGGATCTATCTGGGAAACTAGGAGGAGCCTCTCAATTTCCTGGCCTATTCACACATTCACAGTTCATAATTTCACAGCAGGAGTGAGGTACAGGGTGTGGGGGGAGCATATGGAAGTTTTCCCACCAATCTCATTGAGACTGCAGGGTTGGAACTGTCATCCTGGAGTTCAAAAATTATGTCCCCATGGCCTGAAACCCAGCAGCTCCAGCCCATGTTAACAGGTCAGGGAGGAAGGGCAGGGGAGAATGGCTAGGGGCCCAGCAGCGGTTCCTCATGGCTGCCTCCCATGAACTCCTAGGAGGCTGGCAGCTACAGTGTGTGGGTGGCGACCTTGAGAGCTCAGGGGTCAGTTTCCCAGGAGGTGGGGGTGGGGCAGGCCGGAGGAGGGCAGGTTGCTTCTTCCCCTTTTCCTGCCCTGAGTGAGTTCTGTGTAGCCAAGATGCTCCCAGCATCTTGTGAGTGCTCTCACCCAAGACCCTGCAGGCAGGGGAGAGCTATGATCAGTTGGCTGGCAGTTTGTAACCTTTCCAGGGCCCTTGGCAAAGCCCTAGAAACTCACCTTTCTAAAAAGGACACAAGTGGAGGCCCACCAGCAGCCCACTCCCATTCTGTCCCTTAGGGGCCTCTAAGGTTCTAGGACACCTGTTCTTTGCACATGGGGAAGATGAAGCCATTAGGGTGGTTGTGGCTTCTGAGGTGCCCTGGGGAGAACCTCTACCTACCTCCAGCCCTCATCAGAGGTAAAATCATAATGAACACGAGCCCAAAGTGAAGCTTTCTGTGGGTCTACCTGAGCAGGGTACCTTCCTCCCTGTACTCATTCAGTCCCCACAACCCTATCCAATAGGCACCTTGTAGATAAGGATGTTGAGTCTCACAGAGATTGAGTGACTGCCCAAATGCCCAGGCCCAGACAAAAAAAAAAAAGGGTGAGAGGTCCCCTGGGCCTGGCATTTGGGCCCCAGTGAGTAGAGCGCTCTGTAGGTGCTCATCTGCACATTCCCACCAGCACCAGCTGACCTCTCCCCACTCCACTCCTCTCTAACCCAGCCACTTCATTTCTCCTGCATGACCTCCAGCATGACCTCCAGCAGTCACTCAGTCTCTGTGAGACTCAAGTGACTAAGGTTTCAGGGGTGGAATCTTGTCTGGGGTGGAATCTTTCAGGGGTGGAATCTTGCTGTCTTGCAGTCAGCAGATTGATTGGCATCTTGGCAGGACACACCCATCTCTGAGAGGCTGTGTGGCTGCAGCAGGTCACCCCATCGCTGGTGCCATATGAGACCTCTTAGCAGAGCTGAGGGGGAGTTTACTTGCATTCAGGGGATCTATCCCAGAAGGACTGCCACGGGAAGTTCCCAGTGCCAGATCTACCCCCCCCACCCCCGTCACTGGCTCCCTTGCCAAAGAGTCCACACGCAGCCTCTCGAAGTGGATACTCAGAGACAATGGGGGAGTTAAGCCATTGCCCAGTGGTCCTCTCCTTTGCATAAAGGTCTCCCGTGGATATCTGTTTGTTCTGCCCCCAGGACTGGAGCGAGAGCCTGGCCCAACTGGCTTATGCCAGGGCAGCTCTCTGTGGCGCCCCAACCCCGATCCTGACTTCTGACCCACGGCGTGTTCCCCAAGTGGGCTGGAACGTGCAGCTGCTGCCTGCAGGCTTGGCCTCCTTTGTTGAAGTGGTCAGTCTCTGGTATGCAGAGGGGCAGCAGTACAGCCATGCAGCAGCCGAGTGTACCCACAATGCCACCTGTACCCACTACACTCAGGTGAGTGTTGCAGGTGAGGCCAACTGAAGGCAGCTGGCTCAGCTCAGAAGGGCTGGGGCTGTAGCTCAGTGGCAGAGCACTGGTCTGGCATATGTGAGGCACCCAGTTTGTTCCTTAGCACCACAGAAAAATAAACAGACAAAATAAAGGCATGCTGTTCATCTGCAACTACAGAAAAAATTAAAAAATTAAAAAAATTAAAAATAAGCAATGAGCTAGCCAGGCACCATGGTGTACTCCTGTAATCCCAGGGCCTTGGGAGTCTGAGGCAGGAGGATCTCAAGTCCCAGGTCAGCCTCAGCACCTTAAGGAGACTCAGCAACTTAATGAATTCCCATCTCAAAATTTAAAAATAAAATAAAAATTCTGGGGATGTAGCTCAGTGGTAAAGTGCCCACAGGTTCAATCCCTACTACCTGCCCCCCCCAAAAAAAAAGTGGACTATAGCAACAAGTGAAAGGTCATGTGCATTTTTGCAATCTATCACAAGGCCCTTGATGTCCAAGACTTTCTTTTGCCATTCTTCTCCATCCACCCCCAGATTTCCCCTCCCTTCAAACATCTGCTAACTGCCCCCACTCCCCATCCCACTCAGAAAGGCTTCCTACATGATTCCCACCATCCTCAGAGCTCTGCCCAGAACAGCTGCTTTCTTTTTATGTGGATTGTGAGTCAAACTGTGCCCCCCCCCTGCCCCCCGCCAAGCATGCACTGCCTGTGCATGCTAGAGAGGGGGGAGTCTACCATAGTGTTTCTGAGCCACTGTGTTCCCTGCAGCTCGTGTGGGCTACCTCGAGTCAGCTGGGCTGCGGGCGACACCGGTGCTCTGTGGGCCAGGTGGCGATGGAAGCCTTTGTCTGTGCCTACTCTCCTGGGTAAGTGCCCACAACATGGGCTACGGGGAGGGCTAAGTGGGATACTTTCATCCAGGGTGAGATGCCTATCCACCCAAATGGCCTTTTACCCTTTGGTCTGCACCCTGTGTGGGAGAAGGAAGAGGAGGGAAAGGAGAGCTTGTGGAAGATTCTGGACGTGCAGATTGAGGCTTATCCGTGATGTCCCTTCCTGAAAGCATGACCGGTTTCAGGGGATTTATTTGGAGGTCATCTGTTTCTTCCTTGAAAATCTCCGGGTCTCACCCAGCTCCCTGACTCTGTGGGCATGCTGAAAGAGCTGAAGGGGCCTGTGGGTAGGCAGCAAGGCCCCACCCCTGCTCTGCCCAAGGCTGGCCCCTTCCAGACCCTCCGACCCTTGTTCTCACAGAGGCAACTGGAAGGTAAACGGGAAGACAATCACCCCCTATAAGAAGGGCGCCTGGTGTTCGCTCTGCACAGCCAGTGTTTCTGGTTGCTTCAAGGCCTGGGACCATGCAGGGGGGCTCTGTGGTGAGTGCCCCACCCTTCCTACTCCTCCTGGGACAGTAGGTGGCTCTGGCATGGGTGATAGCAGCCTGAGGGACTATCCCAGAAGCGCTGACCCCTCACCACCCAGGGAGGCACCTTCCTGACTGCGGAGGGGAGGCCCCTTCTTAGAGTTCCCTCCGTGCCTGACCAGAGGTCCCCAGGAACCCATGTCGCATGAGCTGCCGGAACCATGGACATCTCAACATTAGCACCTGCCAATGCCACTGTCTCCCTGGCTACACAGGCAGATACTGTCAAGGTGAGGACCTAGTGCCCATGCAGGCAGTCCCAAGGGGTGAGGAGGGGGGTGACCCCATTGTGTCAACCCCTGCTCTATGGTGTGGCTGTGGGGTGGCTGGAGGCTGAGAACATTTTGAGGGAGTCTCTGAGTGGATTACTTGGGAGTACTTGCTGGAGTTTGCACACTGCATGCATTCATTCAACAAGCATTCATTGAGCACCAACAGTTTGCCAGACCCTGTGCTATGCAGGGGAATCAAAATGGCCCTGAGGCTATGGGAAAGAGAGAGGAAGACAGAATTAGGAAAAAAAAATGGGTTCTTCTTCCACTGCCCCCCAACTCTGCAACCCTGGGCAAACCCCAGTTTGCTTCTTTCTATAATGAGGATCAAACCAAAGAAGCCAAGTGTAGTGGCAGTTGGAAGCCCAGGTGCGCTCTGTCCCCAAGAGGGATGCTCTTGCTGTGGTAGCTGAATGTTGAAGGTCTGTGGGGGGCAACATGGCGGGCAGGTTGGGCGCCAGGAGGCTGGAGGCTGAGTGCTCTGCCCTCCTGCCCTGTCCTGGCAGTGCGGTGCAGTGTGCAGTGCCTTCATGGCAGGTTCCGGGAAGAGGAGTGTTCCTGCGTCTGCGACGTTGGCTATGGGGGAGCCCAGTGTGACAGTGAGTCCTGCCCCAAGACCCCTCCCAGGACTCCCTTTGGTGGGGTACTGGATTGGGTTCCATCAGCTCCAGGATCCCATTGTGTGCATCTCTTCCCAGCTCCTCCCTCCATGACGTCATATTTGTAGTCTGCAGTTGGCCACAGTGAGGGTATTTACACCACTGAAATCGACAAGTATTCATGGGTTCCATACATATTTAAGGGGGAGAGCTCATTGTTATACGTTTATCAGCACACCACTGAGCCCACCTGCTTCCAGTTTGGAGCAGGTGGCCACAGGAAGGGGCACCTTGAGCTTAGATCTCTGGTAGGGTGGGAGAGGGTCATGATTCTAAGGAGGGGACACAAACTCAGTCCCCTCCACCCCACCAGCCAAGGTGCACTTTCCTTTCCACACCTGTGACCTGAGGATCGATGGAGACTGCTTCATGGTGTCTTCGGAGGCAGACACCTATTATGGAGCCAAGATGAAATGCCAGGTGATGGTAACCCCTACCTTCCCAGGAACTCCTCAGGTTCTCAAATGAGATGACCCTGGGCTAAATGATGGTTCCTTTGCCTTCTCCTGACCCAATATAAAACAGAGGTCACAGACCCAGAGGCTCAGGAAGCCAGGAGGTCATTAAGTGAGCAACCCAGAGACAAAGCCCCACCCAACTTCTGTCTCAGGCACTGTCCTGACCCGGCTCCAGATGCTGATTTCCAGACAGGATGGCAGGTCAGGTTGTCAGGACTCAGGGTTTTTCAAAGTCAGAAATCCACATTTTCATCCGTAATTCTTGACTAGTTAATGTTGCCAATATGCAATGTGAATATATTTAAGGTACTGTGCAGTTAAGACAAACTCCTCCTGAGGGCAGGACCCTGCCCGGCCTGTGACCTGTGTACAAACAGAGGAGAAGCTGTCAGGGAAGGGAATGGTACCTCTATTCTCAGAGGCAAGAGATCATGATCATTAAGGGGTATGTGATGAGGCCTGACCAGCACACACATTTGGGATCCAGGGCCATGGTGGGGTGGCAGAATGGGAGAAAGGGTTGGCCTAAGCTCTTGGAGCTCTGCCACTGAAACCCAGGGTTGGGATTTCAGGAAAAGGGAGGGACACTAGCCCAAATTGAGAGCCAGAAAGTACAGGATATCCTCGCCTTCTACCTGAGTCGCCTGGAGACCACCAACGAGGTGACTGACAGTGACTTTGAGACCAGGAACTTCTGGATCGGTGAGTGCCTGGCTGGTTGGGGTGTGGTGAGTGGGAAACGTGGGGCTGAATGCTCTACAGAGCTCCAGAAATCCTGCGCTTGGGCTATGGCAACCCAGAGTACTCCCTAGCAAATGGCAAGGGTATGTTGAGGGCTTAGAGTCCAGAACAGGGAGGGTAGACAGGCTTCCAACCCCCTTCCCTGGGGAGAGGGCTGCAGGAGGGGTGAACCACAGTGCAGAGGCAAGGGCTGGAGGCACTGGGAAGAGTTTAAGAGCTGGGGGCCCAAAAGGTATGAGGCATCAGGCTCCTGGGCTCAGATACTCCTCTCAGGGCCCCTGGGCTCTCAGATGATAGGCAACCTTGGCTACCCTGGCCCAGGGCTCACCTACAAGATGGCAAAGGACTCCTTCCGCTGGACTACTGGGGAACACCATTCCTTCACCAGTTTTGCCTTTGGGCAGCCTGACAACCAGGGGTGAGTCTGGGGTGCCCGCACTCCCCTGGGCCAAGGGTGTCGCCTGGGCCTCCTTGGTTGAGTCTTTGGACTCCACTGAAGAACCTCTACCCAGCCTGCTGCTTGGTCCAGCTCTTTGAGTCTGTGGGCCTGACCTGGTGCCAGGGAAGTCTGGGCACAGCTGGTGCAGGCACAAGCCTGAGGTGAGGGAGGTATAAATCAGAAGGTGCATGATATAAAAGAGAGGGACCCCAAGCCCAGGCCTAGTGGTGTACACCTGTAACTCCTGCAACTTGCAGGGCTAATACAGGAGGACTGCAAGTTTGAGGCCAGCCTCAGCAATTTAGCCAGACCCTGTCTCAAAATTAAAAATAAAAAGGAAGAGCCATAGCTCAGTGGCAAAGCACCCCTGAGTTCAATCCCAAGTACTGCTCCCCCAAAAAAGAGGGAACCCAAGAAAGTTTAATGCATCCGTCCATCGCCATTGTCCCCTCAGTTGCCCCTCTATTTATTATTCACTTGCCCCTCCCTCCACTGGCCCATCTACCCTCTGCTGTCCACCAATTCTCCAGCCATCCACCCACCTGCATCCTTCATGTACACATCCACTCCCCAGCTGACCCCCCTAGCTGTCCTGACCCCCCTACCAAAGACCTTCTAGTTCTATGCCTTCAAGCCCAGGAACGCCCAGGGCAGGGGCAGCAGAGGTGAAGGTGGTGAGGCTGTGTGGCCAGTAAGAGCTCCAAATATCATCCCCAGCCCTCCTTGCCAGCAGCCAGGCCTGATCAGGCTCCAGGCACGTCTCCTCGATGGAAGGGAAGGACCTGGGCTCTCTGTTCCAGGTTCATCCCACTGGCTGGTGTGGCTGAGTGCTGCAGTGAGGGGTCTCCTGAGACCTCCTGGGTCCCTGAGAAGAGCATTTGTGCTCTGGAAGCATAATGGGAGCCTGAGGGTTGGTCTGGCTCCCAGTAGCCCCATCTGTGGTTGGGGCACCTGGGCCCAGGTGGCAGAAGACCCTGATTTCATTCCTCCACTCTGAGCACCCCATATTCTGGTCTGGCAGATTTGGCAATTGTGTGGAGCTGCAGGCATCTGCTGCCTTCAACTGGAACGACCAGCGCTGCAAAACTCGAAACCGTTACATCTGCCAGTTTGGTGAGGGCCTGCCCTCAGTTCCCCTCCTTTGGTTCCTGTCCCCTGGGTACTGATGGCCCACTCTAGGCTGCTAGGATATCCAAGTCACCCACATAGAGTGTCTGAGCGCACCAAGTCAGAGAGGATGTCCTGCTCAGGACCTTTAGTGGGCCCAGCAAGTCCATGCAGACACAGACTAGAACATTTTCAAGGAACTTCTCCAAGGTCCCTCTCCTTCTACCATGAAAGTTGCCACCTGGGGTCCCGTTGGGTCCCTCAGTGTTCTCTGATTCCCTAAAGTCCAGTGAACTATAGTGAAGGGCATAGGTGAAACCTGGCCCAGCACCAGCTCCCAGCAACACGTCCAACATGGGAGCTCCATGTGGGACTATGGCCATGGGCACTTCCAGACCTAGCGAAGCAGGCTCTCCATCCCATTACTGCCTGCGCTGCCATAAAGTCCCACCCTGTTCTACTTCCTTTCCAGCCCAAGAACACATTTCTCGGTGGGACCCAGGGCCCTGAAGCCTGACCAGGCAGCTCTCCTGCTAGCCCGAGTGCACTAGCCCTGCAGGCCTGTCTACTCACCTGTGTGGAAGAAGAACTAGGCCCAAAGTCCAACATGAGGTCTCAGACTTTGCATGATGCAGGAAGTTGGGCAGAGGGTGGCAGTGAAGCAGGTGGGGAGTGGGGAGGGTGGTGGAGAAGCTTGGCATGGGAAGAGGAGAGCCTGGGTCTCTCAGCTGACTTTTGATTGGGAAGATGGGCTTCTGTGAGGCACTGAAACAGAAGCCAGAGCTAGAAGTCAGAAGAGGCTGCCATCCTCCCCCTGGGCCAACCCCTGGGGCAGCTGGAGCTGTCACCACCAGATGCTTCCCAGGAAGGATTAAACTAATTTATGAATCGGCTGGACTTGCAATTGCTCAGCTTGGAGAATTCCGATGCCCCAGGATGATCCTCAAAAGACAGAGGGGGCTTGTCATCTCACTTTCCCACTATTCACCTTGTTCCTTTCCTGCTCAGTCTTGTGACCCAGACTACCCTTTGGATGTTTTCAGGCTCTCCAGTAACATGGAAAACCAAACTCTGCCTCAGTAGGGGGTCTTTTCTCCAGCAACTCCCAGGACAGGGCCTCAAGCAGGCCTGGTAGACACTGCCCGTAGACCTGGGACACAGTGTGTGTGAGTCTGTCTCTTGTTTCCCATGATGTAGTGTTTTCACATATCAGGACTGATGGTATAGTAAGAACCTGGAGAGTTACACTCCCCGATCCAGCTCCTCAGCTATTGGAGCGTGCACTTAAGTACTGTGTGTCCGACTCTGTAATCAACACCTGACGTCTATTAACTCATTTAAACAGACATCCTCACTGAGAAGTGAGTATTGCTATCCTCATTTTACAGTTGAAGAAATGTAGTCACAGAGAGGTTCAAAAATTTACCGGAGGCAGTAGTGCATTGGGAATCAAACCTGGTCAGTCCCGTCATCTCATCTTTTATATATATATTTACTTTGGTTGGTGGGGGTTGGTCCGGCGGGTTTAATCCAGGGGGCATGGGAGAAGTTTTGTCGTGCCCTAACTCAGATGTCCCTAACAATATCATCCACTCACAAAAGGAGCAGGCTGGTCTTGCAATTGCTCGGTTCCGAGAACCCGGGGCCATAGACCCCAAAATTCTGCCCAAGGACGCCTGCGGGTCAGCTTGCCCAACGCCTCCTCTGCCTCACGGGAGACAGGAGGGGCCCTGCTCCCCCGCCGTGGTCCTGCCAGGTAGTCACCCATCCGGTCGGAGGACGCACTGCCCACAAAGGCACCTTGTGGCCCTGGGAGCCTCGCCCTCGCATGCGCAGTCGCACGGTCCCAAGTCCCGCGGGGCGATCCGGTCCCTCCCCGGAGACCCGGGAGGGAGCCCCACTGCGGGCGACCCCGCCGCTGCCTACCTCCGGGTCCTCGGCTCTCGGGGGACACGGCCCACACTCCTCCAGCTGAGACGCTCGTTGGTCACCTGGCCCTCCTGGGGCCGTTGGGTGAAGGTGGCACGTCGGGGTGGGTCCCCCGTGGGAGGCATGTTTTTTGCATCCTGAGGCGTGTCCGAAAAGGGTGCGACCTGCGCGCGCCCACGGGGCGGGGGGCTGGCCTGGGCGCGCCCTGCGGGGGCGACCCGCTACAGGACAGTCCCGGCGGCGGGTCCCAGACCCTCCCACCCCAACACCACGCAGTGGGCGGTGGGAAGAGTGGTTCCTGGCTGGGCTGTGTGACCCGAAGTCCAGTGGGCTCCCGGCAGGTGTAGACGCCGGTGTGGAAAGACCTGCCCGCGGCTCGTTTGGTGGTCCACAGGCTTCACCGCGGAAACGGAGGGGCGCGACCAGTCACCTCCGAGGTCCTCAAGGCTCACTCTGAGCTGGGACGCGCTGGAGATCAGCCCAAGGTGTGAGGAGGCGGTGCCATCGAAGGCACGTATCCTGGGCAGCCCGGCTCGCTCCCTGCTTCCTCCCTCAGGTTTTCAGTGGTTGTTTGTCTGGCTTTGCTGCCCTTTATATCTCGGCATGGCCAACAATCCGAGGACAAAACAGTTTTATGCAATCAACAGATATTGGTTAAATGATCAGATAGTGATACAGTAGTACATTCTGGAAATTTTGCAAGGCCTGATCTACTAGGTATCTGCCGCCTTTCTGGTGGTTTATTTTTGCAGTGCTAGAGATGGAGCCCAGGCCCCCACCTACCTGCTAGGCAAGTGCTTTGCCACTGAGCTACACCTCCAGCCCTGGAGCTAGTTCTTTAAAAGTCCCAACCTAGCCCGGGTGTGGTGGCAGTCACCTGTAATTCCAGTGACTCCAGAGGCTGAAGCAAGAGGATTACAAGTTTGAGGCAGCCTCAGTAACTTAACAAGACCCTGTCCCAAAATAAAAAGAACTGGGGATACTGTGTGATAGTAGAAAGGGTTCAATCTCTAGTATTACCACCACCAAAAAAAGAAAAAAGAAAAAAGAAAAAAAGTTCCAGCCTGTGTTTACCTTCCCCAGGGGGGAACAGGAAAGCAAAGTTGGCTAAGTGGATGAATTGACCATAACTCAGAGAACCAGCTGGCCTCCAGGGAGAGAGATAATATGGAACAAGCTGCTGGGCTTTCCAGGAGAAAGGAAGCCCTTTCCTGAGGTTCTGCCCAGAACAGGACAGTGAACCCCTTGCAATGCCTTCTGGCTCAAATTGGTGTTCTAAAGATAGTTCTAGAAGGCATAGTTCTCTCTCTCTCTCCCTCTCTCTCTCTCTCTCTCTCTCTCTCTCTCTCTCTCTCTCTCGCTCATCTTGTGTATAATGTAGTTGTGAAAGTTAAAACATGGCTGACATGGTGGCACAACCTGTAATCCCAGCAGCTAAGGAGACTGAGGCAGGAGGATTGTGAGTTCAAAGCCAGCCTCGGCAACTTAGTGAGACCCTGTCTCTAAATAAAATATAAAATAAGGGCTGGGGATTTTGTTCAGTGGGTAAGCAACCCTGGGTTCAATCCCTAGTACCAAAACAAAAAAGCAATTTAAAGCCAGGCACAATGGCCATGCCTGTAATCCCATCAGCTCAGGAGGCTGAGGCAAGAGGATCACAAGTTCAAAGCCAGCCTCAGCAACAGCAAGGTGCTAAGCAACTCAGTGAGACCCTGTCTCTAAATTAAAAATAAAAAATAGGAGGCTGGGGTTGTGGCTCAGAGGTAAAGCGCTCACCTCCCGTAGGTGAAGCACTGGGTTCCATCCTCAGCACCACATAAAAAATGAAATAAAGATATTGTGTCCACCAATAACTAAAAAATAATATTTAAAAAAATAAAAATAAAAATAGGGCTGGGGATGTGGCTCAGTGGGTGAGTTTAATTCCTGGTACCAAAAATAAATAAATAAATAAATAAATAAAAAGTGCTTCCATTCTGTATTCACTTATAAATTGTCTCCAAGTACTATAATACTAAAATACTATGCACATTATGAAAGAGACACAAATGAATACTTTAAAGGGTATTAATGAGTATAGGGCTGGAGTTGTAGCTCAGTGGTAGGGTACTTGCTCAGCATGTGTGAGGCACTGGGTTCGATCCTCATATCACATTAAAAAAAAAAAAGGCATTGTATCTGTCTACAATTTAAAAAATTTTAAAAATTAAAAATGAAGATGAATGTAAATATCCAATATTCTCATTGTGTACCCAGAGAGACTGCCATATGGTGTGCTCTCTGGAGACCTAGGAAATCTAGGCTTCACAGGCTAGGTACCTGAAGGTGGAGGCAGCCATTGGGCATTGCTTTCCTATGGCCATTGGCACAACTACCTGCCCAGCAGATCTTGACTTCAGTGTGATCTTTGTTCTCTTCTATGACAGGAGCACTAGCTCCCTCAAAGCCTTGTCTGAGATGAGTGCTTTGTTCTAGGGGACTATCGGATTAACTGTCTTGCCATGGCATGGCATGGGCTGCTGGCGTCCTGTCCCTTATTACTAGCTGGAGTTCCACAGTCCTCTGGCCACTTACCAGCCTGAGAGTCCTCCTACTTCCTTCAGGGCTTCTTGCTTCATTCACTCCTGGTGCTGTTTTGGTTTTAATTAAAGTTCTCAGTTTTAAACCACAGAAACTAATTCTGGCAACTCTAAGTAGAAAGGAATGAGTTTGTGGGAAATACTTGTTAGTTCCCAGGAGCTCTGGAAGGGGAGGGGAATCAGTTCTAGAAGAGATCCCACAGTAGAACTGACTGGTGAAGACCCTACTGCCTCTGCTGGGCACATCAGCAGCTGTAGTACCAAGTTGGGCCTGGATCTGCCTGAAGGAGCTAAGCCACGTTCCCAGGCCTTAGCTGCAAGAAGACTGGGAAAGCAAAGCAGAAAGGGCATTTTCAGCTTCTTTCAGGAGAGACAGGCTCTGTTTGGGAATACCACTGAACAGGAAGAGGGCTGGGATATGAGGTAACTCAAAGAATGACCCATATTCATTGCAAAAAGCCCCTGGTACATCCAGGATTTAGGGCCTCAGTGCTAGTGTTAGCAGCCTGCCCTCCCCCCACCCACCCACCACTATACACATACATAGCCAAGGACTCACCTGCCATTGGATTCTTTGCAGCTTGAAGTGAGTAATAGTGTAGCCCTATACAAGGGCTTTGCTTGTAGCTGAGCCCTCTGAGTGTTTGCAATAAATTATCTAATTTCTTGGAACAGTATAGCAGTTGTGAGTGAGGGAGCTCATGACTGTTGTCTACTTGCTGTCCATGTGGCCCTGGACAAATCCATTAACCTCAACCTTGAGATTGCTGTGGAGGGTTTAATGAAACAACAGATGTGAAGTTAATAGCACAATGCATAGGAAAAAATAGGAATTCCCTGGGCACCTGTGTGTGTGCCTGTAATCCCAGCTCCTCCATGGCATGTGCCATAACACCTAGCTACTGACAGTCTTTAATACTGAAGATGACAAAATTACCCTTTCTATTCTTCCTGGGGGCACTATGAAAACAAGTTGATGGGCCAGGGTTGTGGCTCAGTGGTAGAGCGCTCGCCTAGCATGCATGAGGCACTGGGTTCGATCTCCGGCACCACATAAAAATAAAACAAATAAAATAAAGGTTAAAAAAAAGAAAATTAAATTTAAAAAAATAAGTTGACTACTTTCTGTGCATCTGATGAATTCAACGTGGGCACATCTGGGAATCAGCTCAGTGAACTCCAGGGAGACCAGTGTTTGTTGTGATTTTCTCATTTTTCCTTGTTCTTTTCTCATTTTTCCTTGGCCTCTCATTTTTGTTCTTTTGCTTTCTTCACACCTAATTGCTGACCTCCTGTGTCTTTGAGTCATCTTCTGTCATTCATCTTGTTTCCCATTCATTAATGTCCCACCTACCACGTTCTATGCAGTCAAATGTGCACAGCGGTGGGAATGAAAGAGGATGTGGCTCCTAGGATTCTTCTAGGAGGCTTTATGAGCAATGAATATGGAACAAAGACCTCCAGCCCACTTCCAGATGTGTGGCATCTGTAATGGTTTAGTTCATTTATTTAGCAGATATCAATTGAGCACCTACTACATGCCTGGCCTTGTCCTAGCAGAGGGGTTACAGCACTACTAGCATTCCTCATCTTCTGCCCTGGTGTGGATCTGTCTTTTCCAGTGAAGAATGGTGAAAAAGAGGAGCCAGGAGATGAATGGCCTGAGGGTCCACTCATGAGGTGACATTCCCATAGTGGAGCACAAATGGCTACATCACCTGACTTCTTGGTCCTCCCTTGAACCAGCTTCAGCTGACATTTTACTTCAGACCCAAACATCTCTTTGATGTAGTTGAAAAAAAATGCAGGAAACAATTGCCTGGCAACTGGGGCCAGCCCACGGCTGCCTAGAGTAGGCTGTTGGACCTTTTTACACACGCCACCATTTAATTTGCTTTGACCTTCTTGGGACCTAAAAATGAGCTTCTTGCATTTGTTCTGTTTCCAACAGAGTTGCAAATGTCTCTGTTCCTAGGTCACTCTTTGGGGCAGAGTGAGTTTTGAAATTGGCTAGTGGACACTGACTGATGTGGAGCTATGATGATGGAGAAGAGTGTAGGTGAACGCTAGGGTTTCTGGAAAGATTCCTTGCCTGGGAATCAAGAAGTGTGGATCAAGGGTAGCGGGATGTGGCTCAAGCGGTAGCGCGCTCGCCTGGCATGCGTGCGGCCCGGGTTCGATCCTCAGCACCACATACCAACAAAGATGTTGTGTCCGCCAAAAACTAAAAAATAAATATTAAAAAAAAAAAAAAGTTTGAATGCACTGCTCTCCCCTTCCTGGACTCTGCTTTTCCTGCTCTGTCTTTGGAGGTGAATGCTAAGGAGCCAAAGCAGCTCTAGGATTTGCAGTTCTTCCCTCAATCTCTGCTTCTGTGCCTTGGGCAGAGACAAGGAGATTCAAACATAGTTCCAGACAGCCTCCTCTGAATGTTGGATTCTGGAAGTGAAGAGGAAGGTACCTTGGTGGTACAGATAGTTTTACAAACAATGTCACACATGCTGAAGGACAGAAGGCTGGTAGAGGGTGCTGGCTGGGGCACAGCTTCATCTTGTCAACATCCATTCCAAATTTGCTCTGAGCATCCAGAATGTCTTGGAGAAAAGAGGTCAGTAGCTGCCTTAGAACCCACCAGGGTTGTCCCTCCTGCACCCAGGAGAAGGCTTGAGAAAGATTCTCACCTGGTTGGCCCAAAAGCCTCATGTCCCAAATATGAGAAATATGAGGCTTGGGTCTCCCTGTCCTCTGCACTTAAAAAAAAAAAAAAACACAACAAAACAAAACAAACAAACAAACAAAAAAACAACACCTCTCCTAGGGATGATGAAACAGAATCCAGGCTCTATAACCTGATCACTCGGCAGAATATTTGCTGAGCTCTGTGTGTGAGGTCCTGTGCTAGAGTGGAAGATCGAGAGGTGATTGATATGTTGCTGTATTTGTCCACTGAAACTTCAGGTCAACCTTTGGTTGAGGCTGAGGCATAGGCCCAGCTATATGATTTGTAGGGCCTGATACAGAATGAGAATTCAAGTTCAAAAATTATTAAGAATTTCAAAATGGCAACAGCAGAGCGTATAGGAAGCACAAGGTCCTTCTGAATGAGGACCCCATGTGGCTGCACAGCTTGCACACCTGCAAAGCCCTCCCTGCATTTGGGAATATGGGAGTGAGGTCCTCCCTGTTCTTGCCGTCACTGCATATCAAGGGGGCTGGGGCAGAGGAGCCCCTTGGGGCTGGAGGGTCCTGACTCATGGTTGTCCATGGTTCTACTATCAACCAGCAGGTTCCTTGCCCCAGATGTGACCTTGAACATTGCTGCAGAAACCCATTCCCTAAGTAATATTATGGCCGGCCAGCTGCCTCCTGAGTCACAAGAGAATCTGGGGCTGATCATAGGCCAAGCACACCCTCCAGGCCTCTCTGTCCAGATGGGAAGGGGGAATCCGGGGTCCTCAGCACCCTCCTCCCAAGGCTGCCCAACTTCCTTGCTTCAGCTCCCACTCAGTCCTTTGAACTCAGCCAGCCCCACACTAGTCCCAGGGGGAGCCTTACCTGACCCTTCTAAGTGGATGTGGCCCGTTGGCCAGCAACACCGAGACCCAGTGCAACGGCCCTCAGGGATCCCTGCTCCCTGCTTCCTTGGGCCCAAGGCATCCATTAGGAAGTTGCCTGAAGAATTTAGGACTCCTTTGTATTTTCTTCTCCTTTTTCTTGTTCTTGTTCTTCCTTTTATACTGGGGATTGAACCCAGGGGATACTTTACCACTGAGCCAAATCCTCAAATCCCCAGCCCTTTAATTTTTTTTTTTTTTTGAGACAAGGTCTTGTTAAATTGCTAGGGCTCACTAAGTTGCTGAGGCTGGCTTTGAACTTGCCATCCTCTTACCTCAGACCCCCATGTCACTGGGATTACAGGCATCTGCCATAACACCCAGCTATATTTTCTTCTTAAATACTTAAATGTATCCTGCTAAAGTTTAGCTGATACACTCAATTGGCAACCATAAAATACTACATAAACCTCTTTTTTTAAAAAAAATGTTGGGGAGGGGGGCTGGAGTTGTAGCTTAGTGGTAAAGCCCTTGCTTGGCATGTGTGAAGCACTGGGTTCAGCCCTCAGCACCACATAAGAATAAATAAATAAAAAAGTATTATGTCCCTCTATAACTAAAAAAAAATTTTTTAAAAATTAGAATTTCAAATCTGTTAAATTAACTTTAGTAGAATTTCATAAAGATTACTGGCCTCTAATACCCAGGACTTCCTCTTCCCATGAGCGTTCAAGTTCCAGAGCTCATCCCAGAGCTGGGTACATGGTGAGCCTTCCACATCTTGTGCTGGGCCCCTGCCTTTCTGTGATGCTTTTGAGTTCAAGGTAAACCATCTGGGTTTGGGGCTGGGAAATTTGTTTGTCTGAGGGCAACACTTTTGTGAATTTGAGACTTGCTTGTCACTCTGAGCCACTCTGGCTCTTTCAGTGACAGCTGGCAAGGGGCTTAGCACAGAGGCAGGTGTGGGGCGTGGGCCCGGCAGTGAGCAGGCCAGTGCGGGCACAGGCAGCCAGGCAGACAGAGGGGCCATATCCCCGGCCGGCAGGGCAGCAGGAGGACTCTTAAGAATTATCCCAGACCAGGGCTGGGTGTCTCCTCAGAGGACACAAGGATCACAGGCAAACCCTCTCCTGCCTTTTGACAGGACCACTCCCAGTTATGGGAACTGAGCAATGGGTCAATTGGCTGTGGGTGTGGGTTTGAAGGAAGCAATAGCTTTCTTTTCCCAAAGTCTGGAAGTTTCTAACTATTTTTGTTTTAAAGTGTGCCCAAGAGCCTGTCTCTTTGTCTAGGTAGGGGCACCTCTAGGATAAACTCCTGGGGCCTGATGCCAGGCCTGGGTAGGGGGTCTGGGTCCCTTGGAGGCCTGGCCAGGCTGCCCATTGACCGGCTGGATCTTGGCCTTCCCTCCAGAGCTGAAGAGCAGGGCCCTGTGCACAGGTGCCCCCACTCCCCTCCCACTGCACCCCTTCATCCCTTCACCTCTGCCCTACTCTCCTGCTCTCTCTTTAGATTTGGACATGGCTCGAGAGCCCAGGCCCGGTCCTGCCCGGTCAAGCCAGAAGAGGCAGCTGGGAACCGCCATCTTCTGGTGAGTCTGTCCCCTGGCCGGCTGAGGAGGGAGAATGGTTGCTGGCTTGTTTGGGTTCTCCTGGGACAGGACAAGAACTCCAAGTGGGTCCGTCAGTACACTGTCCACTCCACGCACAGTCTGCTCATTCTGGAGAGAAGGTTCCTTGTCCCTCAGCCTCAGGAATATGACCCAGCACATTCCAGTACTTTCGTAGCCAACGAACCCGGTCACCATCTTGCTGGTGTCCCTTCTCTGTTCTGGAGCCAGGCCTGGGTCCTCTGAGGGGAAACCTCACCTGTGGGAGTCGAGGGCTTTTTCTAGGTATAGACACTGAGAAGTAGTAAATGGGAACCTCTCTGGATGACACCTTGCCCCTCACTTGGGAAACTTAAAGCAATATATAGATATACATATATATTTTTTCTGGTGTGGGAATCGAACCCAGCCAGTGCTTCCCACATGCTTCCAGAGTGTGTTCTATCACTGAGCTCCCTGCAGCCCTTAAAGCGATTTTTATACTCTTTAAACATTTTCATAAAGGAGCTCGCCAATGTTTTCTAGCAAACACGCCGTTCTCACTGGTGTGAGGAGGGTATATTGAACCCCCATTGTCCTCTCTGTCTCCTTAACTGGGCATTTGCAATGTGGCACTTGGGGAGATTTCGGTCTTGCTCTGAGGACAGGTGATTGTTGCTAGGAACAGTGCAGCTGCAAACACCCCGGTACCATGGTTCCAGTTACTTTTGGCATTCATTTCTGCTCATCTCCCCAGAAGTGGGGTGGCAGGGCTGGGTGTGGGCTTCTGAGATGCCTCTGTACCTCCAGGTTGACCTCAAGAGGAATTAGGCCAAATCTCTCCCTGCAAGCAGCAGTCTGAGTCTGTGTCATCTGCAGTGTAACAGTGTGAGCAGCTTCTCACTGTTTTTGTTTTGGGGGCTGCAGAGTAGAGGTGTACATCTGTTTTGTTTTGTTTTGTTTTTTTAACCTTACATTCTTTGGTGATGTAGATCTGTAAATGCTGTGTGTTGGTTTGTGAGCAAGACTCTCAACTAGGGGAGTCTGTTGATAAGACTTTATAATCTTCTGTCTGATGGAAGATTAGTGGCTCCTCAGTTTTTCAGTTCCAGTTTCATATTTTCTGCTCCAATCCCTCTCCCAGCCGACTTGGATCCATTTCCCACCCTGGGTCACTTTGGGGTGGTAGTGGGGGCGGGAGACTAGAAGCCATGGGGAGTGAGGATCCTGCCTGTCCTAAAGGAGGGGCCTCTGGGCTTTTAAGACCTGAGGCGGAGGTAGGCAGAGGTAGGTGTCCTCCTTAAGGCCTCTTTGTGCCCAGTGAGAGCCACCCAGTGCTACCCCAGGCGCTGCTTGGGCGCCCCTCCAGGAGTACTTACTGGGGGATTTCAGATCCCATTTTCCAATCTGAAAAA